TGGATGGAGTCTTGTTCTGTTGCCCAGGCTGGAGTGCAATGGTGAGATCTCAGTTCACTGCAACCTCTGCCTCCTGGGTTCAAGTGATACTTCTGCCTCAGCTTCCCGAGGGGCTAGGATTATAAGCATGCTCCACCATGCCTGGCTAATTTTTGTTTTTTTGTTGTTGTTTTTTGAGACAGAATTTTGCTCTTGTCACCCAGCCTAGAGTGCAGTGGCATGATCTTATGGCATGGCAACCTCTGCCTCCTCAGTTCAATAAATTCTCATGCCTCAGCCTCCCAAGTAGCTGGAATTATAGGTGCCAGTCACCACACCCAGCTAATTTTTGTATTTTTAGTAGAGACGGGGTTTCACCACATTGGCCAGGCTGGTCTTGAATTCCCAACCTCAGGTGATCTGCCTGCCTTGGCCTCCCAAAGTGCTGTGATTACAGGCATGAGCCACCGCACCTGGCCCCCAATTTTTGTATTTTTAGTAGAGACAGGGTTTCACCATGTTGGCCAGGCTGGTCTTGAACTCCTGACCTCAGGTAATCTGCCCGCCTTAGCCTCCCAAAGTGCTGGGATTACAGGTATGAGTCCTCCATGTCTTTTCATGACTTCATGCTCATGTCTCTTTATCACTGACAATATTCTATTACATGGGTGTACCACAGTTTGTTTATCTATTAACCCATTGAAGGGTATCTTGGTTGGTTCCAGGTTTTGGAAATTGGGACTAAAACTGCCATAAACATTCCTATGCAGGATTTTGTGTGGAGTATCAATTTCCAACTAACTGGGCAGATATCCTGGAGTACTGCTGGACTATATGCTAAGACTATGTTTAGCTTTGTAAGAAACTACTCTGTCTTCCAAAGTGGCTGTACCATTTTGCATTTCCACCAGCCATGAAGAGGAGTTCCTGTTGCTCTACATCTGTATCAGCAGTGTTTTAAAATTTTAGCCATTCTAGTATGTATTAATATGTAGTACTGGCCGGTCATGGTGGCTCATACCTGTAATCCCAGCACTTTGGGAGGCCGAGGTGGGTGGATCACGAGGTCAAGAGATCAAGACCATCCTGGCCAACATGGTGAAATCCCATCTCTACTAAAAATACAAAAATTAGCTGGGCATTTGGCATGCACCTGTAGTCCCAGCTACTCGGGAGGCTGAGGTGGAAGAATCACTTGAACCCGGGAGGCGGAGGTTGCAGTGAGCCGAGACTGTGCCACTGTGCTCCAGCCTAGCGGCAGAGCAAGACTCTGTCAAAAAAAAAAAAAAAATAGCAATGGAGATTTAGGAGGAATTGTCATTGAGGAGGAATAGCCATTGAGGAGGAAAACCAAGATAGAATGGTGTCTTGGAAGCCAAGAAAAGACAATGTTTCAAAGACAGCATGATCAATGTTAAATGGGCTGACAGGTCAAGTGAGGTAAGTACTGAAAATTGAACCCTACTTTTAGCAATGTGGAATTATCAGTGAGCCTGAATAAAAGGCTCAAGAGTAACTGGGAGGAGATAAAGGAAAGGGAGCACAGGAAACTCTTTTGAGGAGTTTTTCTATAAAGGGAGGCTGAGCAGAGTGGGACAGTATCTGGAGGGGATATATGGTCAGGAGGAGTTTTTTGGGGCTTATTTTTTTCTTTTTCTGTTTTTTTTTGAGACAGAGTCTCACACTCTCACCCAGGCTGTAGTGCAGTGGTGCGATCTCGGATCACTGCAATCTCTTGCCTCCTGCCTCAGCCTCCTGAGTAGCTGGGACTACAGGCACGCACCGCCACACGTAGCTAATTTTTTTGTATTTTTAGTAGAGTGGGGTTTCACCATGTTGACCAGGATGGTCTCGATCTCCTGACCTCGTGATCCACCTGCCTCAGCTTCCCAAAGTGCTGGGATTACAGGCGTGAGCCATCGCGCCTGGTCTATTTTTTTCTTTTTTAAGCAAGAGAAACTACAGGATATGTTCATATTGATAGGAATGATCCAGAAGAGAGAGACACTTAGGAAACAACAGCAGAGGGTGAAGCTGTTTGAGATACAAGATGATTTCTTTTTTTTTTTAATTTCTTTTGAGACAGAGCATCACTCTGTCTCCCAGGCTGGAGTGTGGTGTCCCGATCTTGATCTGGGCTCACTGTAAACTCCGCCTCCTGGGCTCAAGTGATCCTCTCACCTCAGCCTCCCAAAGTGCTGAGATTATAGCCATGAGCCACCACACCTAGTCTAGACGATTTTTAATAGTAATGAAGACATAGATGTGGCTTCTATTATTGCAGTTTATTGCCTATCATAATAATTGATGTAAACACAAACTTTTGATTAGAGGTTAGTAAAAATGACATGCAATTTTTCTTCCATCTAAGTTTATGAGCCTCCCTAGTTTTAGGGTATGATTATGAGAGTATGTGGCTGAGGTAGAGTGGGTGACAAGACCATTGGAGGAGGGAAGGTGAAGGAACCGAGAGGCTAGGGTTTTGTGGAAATCATGTATGTGGACAGTGAAATCTCCAAGAATTCTGAAACAGCAGTGGTCCTAAAGCAAGTGACAGTGAGCTGGGAGCTCTTGTCATTTGGCCTCCACCTGAATGAATGCTGCCTGAATTAGGGTATTCCCAATGCATGAGGCAGCTTCTCCTACTTCTGGATGATTGTAATTATAGGAAACTTCTTCCTTATTCTAAATTACATTCTATCACCTAATATTCCCCATCTTGCTCCTGGCTCAGCCCTCTAGAACTATTCAATCCCACTGACTTAAGATAATTCTTGAAGCAGTCTAGACAGTTCCAAATGTTCTCTTTTCTAGGAAGAACACTGTCAGGTCTCTCAACCATTCCTTATACATCATGGTTTCCAGTACTTTCACTATTTGGTTGGTCTCTTTGGGATACACTTGATTCACTGTCTTCCTAGGGGTGACAGTCAGTGGCATGATCTTCCAACTTCCCTTGTGCTATTCAAATCACTACGGCAATTAATAAACACTTTATTTTGCCAAGATGGATGTGGGTACAACATTGTTACTGAGCGACAGCAAAACATCTTTTTTTTTCTCTTTTTTTGAGACGTAGTCTTGCTCTGTCGCCCAGGCTGGGGTGCGGTGGCATGATCTTGGTTCACTGCAACCTCTGCCTCCCAGGTTCAAGCAATTCTCTGTCTCAGCCTCCCAAGTAGCAGGGATTACAGTTGCCCGCCACCATGCCCAGCTAATTTTTGTATTTTTGGTAGAGACGGGGGTTTCACCATCTTGGCCAGGCTGGTCTTCAACTCCTGACCTCATGATCCACCCACCTGGGCCTCCCAAAGTGTTTGGATTACAGGCGTGAGCCACCGTGCCTTGCCAAAACATTTTATACAAGTTATACAAAGACGTTGGTTTCTTCTTTATAATCTGCAGTCTTCTCCTATCCCTGCTAAATTCACAGTGATTAATGTTATGGTTGTGGAGTTACTGCCAAGAAAGAACATTACAGTGTCCATGTTTCTAACACATGGCAGAAAATACTATGAATTACTGTGTCAGAAGGAGTACTTACGAGAATATCAGTATTTTCAAAATAATTCCTCCAGTATGGTCTGATTTTCCTCTGTCCACCAATGTCCCATACATTCAGCTTAAAACCTTGTGATTGTACACTTTTGATGTTGAAACCCTGAAACAGGGGCAAAAACATCAAGTTTTATTAAACTGAGATCATAATTCTGACAAAGTTACATTTAATCGCTATGTTTTTTATTAATTCTAAATTACTCTGCTATATGTGATACTGGTAATGCTGAAAATGATTTTTTGTGACAAATAATAAAGAACCATCTTTATACGTGTTTATTTCATCCAGGTTGTGGAGTCAGTGTAAATAATGTCAGGCTAACATGATGTTTTTCTACAATGAACATATGTAGACATATAATCGCTGAGGATAACTCTAAATGAGAATAGATCTAATTAATCAACACACACCACATGCCTATGAATCTTCAGGATTGTAAAATTTAACAGGACATTTCATGTAACTAACAAAAAAACAAGCTGAATCTGAAGACTCAACAGAAAAGAACACAAGCTAAATTTAAAGAGGCAAAAGCTAAAAATCTAAGGGATTAGATTCTTCAAGAGCAACTCAAAATAAATTTCCTATTGGAACTAATCAGGAAAAAGAGAGCAGAACTGAGGATGCTATGGGGGAGGCTGGATTTGTAACTCCAATATCAGCCCAGTAGGGAGGTGGAGCCCTGGGTTACAGACACTGATGGAAACAAACAAGTGGTCACTTAAAATTGTGCTTTCATAGGCAACTCTGATGAACTTGAAAAGGAAGGTCTTTTTTTTTTCTTCTTTTGAGACACAGTCTGGTTCGGTTGCCCAGGCTGGAATGCAGCAGTGCAGTCTCAGCTCACTGCAACCTCCGCCTCCCAGGTTCTACTGCCTCAGTCTCCTGAATAGCTGGGATTATAGGCACCTGCCATCACACCTGGCTAATTTGTTGAATTTTTAGTAGAGATGGAGTTTCACCATGTTGGCCAGGCTGCTCTCGAACTCCTGACGTTGTGATCTGCCCCCTTCCCAAAGCGCTGGGATTATGGGTGCAAGCCACCACACCCGGCCAGAAGTCTTTATTTCCAAGACAGTTACTTGAGGTGAAACTTTGAGGAAGGTGAGCTAATCAGGGACAGGCAGAATTGCTGGCTGGTGGTTTAGTGTGAAAAGAAACAAATTAACAAGCACTTTGGGGTTCTGAGAGAATGTATTTCATAAAGAATTTTTTAAAAAGTCTTCTTGCAAAAGTTAATAGGGAAACCAGGATTTGAAAGACCCAATCAGCAGCTTGCTACCATAGAAGACATTTCATCCAGAATAACTGCAGTTAGATAGGTTTGGGGATGCCTCCACAAACATTTGTTTCATGTGGCAGCCTGTCAACACTGCTGCCTGGCACAGAAGGCGAAGGCACAGTGCAATAGGACAGGAACATTGCCACCCAGTTTCCACTGAGGATACACAGTCTCTGGAGGATAATGGGGGATGCTGCTGACTCTCGCTTCTCTAACATGCCAATGACTGAATACATTAGAAACTCAAGAATTTTAAAGGGAAATGGCTTCAGCTTATTTAAAAAAGCAGTTTCATTGTGACTCATTGGCAAAACTACTTTGGTGTATTTAAACATTCCACACTCAATGATATTAAATGTCAAACTCAGTAATACTGAATCCTTTCTGGAATAAAACAAAAAATAAATAACAGTAAAACAAATCTTGGAATTTCACCATATGTATCAATGGCCTTTAACGTCTATAAGTCATGAGACCCAACAAATCTAGGAATTTTTTATTCTGAGGAAATAATAATAACGAAAGGGCACAAACATGTAGAGATGTATACTACATACATATTTACATATACAATAACATAGAAAGATATTCATGATCTATTAAGTGAAAAAGATGAAACAAGCTCAGTGGCTCACACCTATAATCCCAGCATTTTGGGAGGCTGAGGCAGGAGGACAGCTTGAGCTCAGGAGTTCAAGGCCAGCCTGGGCAATGCAATGAGACCCCATCTCTACCCCAGGAAAAAAAAAATGAACTGGGTATGGTGGCACCTGCCTGTGGTCCTAGCCACTCAGGAGGCTGAGGCGGGAGGATTGCTTGAACCCAGGAATTTGAGGCTGCAGTGAGCTATGGATGGTGTCACTGCACTTCAGCCTGGCCAACAGAGTGAAACCCTGTCTCTAAAAATATATATATGAGATACAAACTAATATATCCTCTATGAGCCATTTTTATTTTTTATTTTAAATATACCCATCATATATATGCATAGAAAAAACTTGATACATTCCTAAATGTGAACAGTTGTTTGTCTGATTGGGCATTACAGGTCACTTCTAGTTTCTCAATTTTATTTATTTATACTTTCTAAATTTACTACAATGAGCATTTATTATTTTTTCTAATATGAAACAAAAACATAATAAAAGTTTGTTTCTAAAGAATATGAAATCTTGACACAATATAATATCAGAGTCACCTATAACACACTGAATAAAGCCTGAAGATTAGAGTTAGAACTTTGGGTTCTAACTTTGAGTTTATTTCTGTGTTTGCAGAGTGGAAATCTTCCTGTTAGTGTTCTTGAGAGATACAGTCTATCACTAATACAAACAATAATAACGACAACAAACCACAGGTGCACGCACACAAAAACTAGCACTTCTTTTTCTGGCAGAAATCTTGACACACTAATCTGTGTTTTTCAGCCCTTCTAGGCTAGACTACTGCAATTTGCTCCTCCTTGGGCTATACATTAAATTTGTTCAGAAGCTGTAAAATTGTTCATTTGGTAGCAGTTGAAATGACTTTTCCACAAAGAGTTGTGAATCAGTAAGACTCACAGCCCGTGAAGTATGCACACACACCAGCACAGCCATTCAAACCTGACACCAGGGTCTTATCATAGTACAGTGATGGAAAATGCTAAATAACTCTGGTTTTGCTAAAACCTCTAACCTTTAATGCTCAAACACTTTAAAGTGACTAAGACCAACAGGCTGTCCCTGTTGGCTCAGCCAAAGGTCAAGCATTCTCAGGATTTCCTACAGGGAATGAGGTCTAAGAAGCCCACTAGAGTTTTTCCAATCAGGACTCGTCTTTAATCCTCCACACTGTGAGCACCGTCACTGCCTTATCCTTTATGCTTTGCTTGCTTGGCCTTTTCCGGAAACAGGAAGGTTGATGAGGCTGGATTTAAAAAGGCAGGTAATTGTTTTTTACTTAAAAAATTGATACATATTTGTATTTATTAAGTCTGAAAAGTATATGCTAAAATATTAACAATGTTTGTTTGTTCGCTTGTTTGTTTGAGACAGAATCCCGCCCTGTCACCCAGGCTGAAATGCAATGGGGCAATCTTGGCTCACTGCAACCTCCGCCTCTTGGATTCAAGTGATTCTCCTGCCTCAGTCTCCTGAGTAGCTGGGATTACAGGTACGCCCCACCACACCTGGCTAATTTTTGTATTTTTAGTAGAGACGGGGTTTTATCATGTTGGTCAGAATGGCCTTGAACTCCTGACCTCATGATCTGCCTGCCTTGGCCTCCCAAAGTGCTAGGATTATAGGCGTGAGCCACCATGCCCAGCCTTAACCATGATTTTTCTCAGAGTTTTCTCCTTTATACTTTCTCTGTGTTTTCTACATGCACTACTTTCATAATCGGAGAAGATAAAGCTGTTTTTAAAAAGAATAGGCTGGGTGTGGTGGCTCACGCCTGTAATTCCACCACTTTGGGAGTCGGAGGTGGGTGGATCATTGAGGTCAGGAGTTTGAGACCAGCCTAACCAACATGGTGAAACACTGTCTCTAAAAAAAATTTAAAAATTAGCTGGGTGTGGCGGCACACACCTGTAGTCCCAGCTACAGGGGAGGCTGAGGCCTGAGAACTGCTTGAATCTGGGAGGTGGAGGTTGCAGTGAGCCAAGATTTCGCTACTGCACTCTAGCCTATACAACAGAGTGAGACTCTGTGTCAAAAAATAAATAATTTATTAATTTTAAAAATTAAAGTAAAAATAAAAAGAATATAGGTAATCACTTGGATCTGTGGGATTTGATTGTCTATATATACACACACACATATATATGTATACATAAATTTTAAATTGTAACATAACATGTACCATTTTAACATTATAACATAAAACGTTCCATTTTAGCCATTTTAAAGTGTGCAGTTCCATGGCAAAATTAAATACATTCCCATTGTGTGCCGTTATCCACAAGACTATTTTCATCTTGCAAAACGGACTCTCTGTACCCGTTAAACAGTAACATCCCATTCCCCTCTCCCCAGCCCCAGTAACCACCATTCTGCATTCTGTCTCTATGAATCTGGCTACGCTAAATACCTTATGAGAATGGAATCTCTTACATAGTTTTGAAATCTGGTTATTTTTAGATTGTATACACTTTTCTCAGAGACAAAACTTGGAAGTGGACAAAACTGTGCTTCCTGTTTTGTCTTTCACATTGCTATTATCGTCTTCCTTGCATCACACGGCATCTGGAGCCAAGGCAGTGCTCACCTGTGTAGGTGTGATGTGGCTGATGTCTTCAGATGCAAGCTGCTTCAGAAGAGTGGTCTTGCCAGCATTATCCAAGCCCAGGAGAAGGATTCTCACCTCCTGGTCTGGTGCACTTTTCAACTTGCGCAAAATTGAGAGTAAGCCCTTGAACAACCATGAAGGAGACAGATTACTTTGGGGGCACTGACTTTGCTATTACTGGATATCAGAATAGCTTCTTGAAAGAAGTTCTTGGTTATGGAGCGCCAATGTTATTATTTTTCATTCGAATGCCACTTATTCCATTTGCTTCCTCTTTCCAAGTTTTGGTAGAAATCCTAAATTAAATCAGCAACTTAATAATAGCATGGCTTATTCCTGCTCCTCCTATTATTCCAGCTTAGCAGTCACCCCAAATCTCCTGGGAGTGTGAACTCTACCCCATCTGTGTTCCTAAAGCCCTTTATATATAGAGTAGGTAACTGATGTTTGTATTATTCTCCTTTACTGAAGTTTCTTGTGGTAAGGGCTACGCTTCTCCCATAATGGTTAGCACTTATTAAACAGACACTAGATAACACCTGTGGAATTAAATAGTATGACACACCCAAGTTAACACAAGATTTTTTCTTTTTTTTTGAGATGTAGTCTCACTCTGTTGCCCAGGCTGGAGTGCAGTGGCACGATCTTGGCTCACTACAACTTCCACCTCCCAGGTTCAAGCAATTCTCCTGCCTCAGCCTCTCCTGAGTAGCTGGGATTACAGGCATGTGCCACCATGCCCAGCTAATTTTTGTATTTTTAGTAGAGATCGGGTTTTACCTTGTTGGTCAGGCTGGTCTCAAACTCCTGACCTCATGATCCGCGCATCTCAGCCTCCCAAAGTGCTGGGATTACAGGCGTGAGCCACCACACCCGGCCACACAAGATTTTTAAGGCATTATACAAAAATATATAAAAAGGCTATATAAAATTAGAATTGGGTTCTCTGTTCATGATTTTATCTATTTCATCATTTTCCATTGCATGCCTGTATCAAAACATCTCATGTATCCTACAAATATATACATCAAGGAGCCATAAAAATTAAAAAGAAAAAATTAAAAAATTTGTTAAATCTATTTTAGCACAACTGTAAGACTTCTTCATTCAAAATGTTCTACCATCATTTTTCACAAGACCCTATAGGACAGGTGTATGATATAGATTATCTCTGTTTTTTAGATGAAAAATTTGGTACAATAGAGAAGTTAGGAAATCATAAAAGGCACCTATGAAGGAAAAAAAAAAACCCACCAAAATCAACCAAGGAATGTTTTACTGTTAATCTAATATTTCTGTTTCTTGTTTCATTATTATTATTTTTAGACAGAGCCTCGCTCTGTCACCCAGGCTGGAGTGCAGTGGTGTAATCTCGGCTCAACTGCAACCTGTCTCCCGGGTTTAAGCAATTGTCGTGCGTCAGCCTCCAGAGCAGCTGGGATTACAGGAGGGAGCCACTATGCCTGGCTAATTTTTATATTTTTGGTAGAGATGGGGTTTCGCCACATTGGCCAGCTGGTCTTAAACTCCTGGCCTCAAGTGATCCACCCACCTTGGCCTCCCAAAATGTTGAGATTACAGACATGAGCCACCTCTCCTGGCCATTATTTATT